GGTCTATCTCTTATCTAAATACACTGTAGGCATGAAAGAAACAATTGAAACTCACTATACTGTTACTATCTAAAACTGTAATACGCGTGATCAGACCCTGACCGCCGCCGTGCGACAGAACGGCTGTCGAGAGGCGTCAGGCTAGAACTGGTTGGTATTTTAAACTTCATCTTGACAAACATTGAGATATTAGAATACAAGTAATGATTAATATTAGTAAACAAAAACTGGGAAAATATGGGCCTACCGTTTTGATTCATTTCTTTATTACAATTTTAATTTTTGTATTATGCTCACAAGATCTCATTCATTTGTTATAATAATCATGAGTAAAACGGTTTATGACTTTTGGAATTGTTTTAAGGAGAAAGCTTCAATATAGCGATCAGCTCGAATGAATAAAATATTTAAAGATCACGATCGTGCTACAAAATAGCTACGATACTTAGGTTTTAGTACTTACATATATTGCGATTTTGACGTCCTACCTTTCTGAAAGAAAGCACTATGGATACTATTCGCATGTTTACATTTCTACCAGCGGTGTTGATCAAGGCTCTAACTTAGGACCCCTACTGTCCATTGTTTTTGTTAATGATTTACGTGTCCCTTTGGACAGTCTGAAGTTGATGTTTGGTGACGATTTAAAGTTTTTCTCCACTATTTCCTCGGCAGAGGATTGTGTTGTGTTGCAAGAACAAATCAACATTGTACTGAGATGGTGTGAAAATAACAACCTTTTTCTAAATATTTCTAAATGTAAAGTACTCACTTTTTCTAGACAGACTAATCCTATATTTTACAACTACACAATGGAGGATTCTGTCTCAGAGCGTTGTGAAACTGTGAGAGATTTAGGTGTCTACTTTGACGAGGAACTCACCTTCAATTATCATATAAACCAAATAATTTCTAGTGCATCGAAAACGTATGGCTTCACAATCAGAAACTGTAGGAACTTCGACAATATCTGTACATTGAGATCTTTATTTATCAGCCTGATAAGGTCAAAACTTGAATATGGATCTCTTATATGGAGCCCTATTTGTAAACAATATGTTGATGCTGTTGATAAAATTCAGAAAATTTTTTTGACGTTTCTCAGTTTCTAAACTGATGGAGTATACCCTGCAAGAGGTTTCGATTACAAAGACCTTTTGCAAAAGTATGAGTTTCAATCTTTAGAGCAGCGACGGAATCAATTTTTTGTATTGATTTTATATAAATTGTTACATGGTCAAGCAGACTGTCCCGAAATTCTCTCGCAGTTGCAATTTCTGGTGCCGCGGTTAGCTTCACGAGCTAGTATTCCTTTTTTATGTCAAAGAGCACAGACTAACTTATTATTAAAAGCACCAGTTAATATGATGAGTAACAATGCCAATAAAATTGCTAACGACTGTGACAGTTTTGGTTGCAATTATAATGAGACAAGGAATAAGACACGTTTTCTAAGTTAAGACTTACCATTTTATATATACTTCGAAGTTGAGTCATTTATTTTAACAGTGAGTAGATCTGATCAAAAGAAATGTTTTTTTCCTTTAACATTTTTTCTGGTAAAATTAAAGTAACAAAGTTATAGCCCTTTAGAAGTTTGAGTACCGCCTTGTCTCAATAATAATATTATGTGCTTGTGTTTGGGAACAACGGATATAATCCGCCTTATCGGTTCATCGCATCGGAAACAAAAAAGCGAAAGAATTTGAAACGCTTATTACGATGTTTTTACTACAATTTTATTCAGTTGTATTCAATCAATGTGTCAGTCGGTGACGCGAGAGTGAATAGTGGTGTTTATTGCGTGGCTCAAATGAAATAAAAAATGGCACATGTTTACGAAAATGCTGAACTTGTGGACATGATTCTTATTTACGGGGAGGGGGAGTCTTTACAAAATGCTGCCGCGGCATCACGGATTTATGCGGATCGGTTTCCCAATCGAGTGCAACCAACCCCTCGTGCCTTTGTTAATGTAGTACAAAGGGCTCGAGAATCAGTCGACTTAAGACCTCACAGGGGAGAGCATGCCGGTGCTCCAAGACCGCACGATCAAATACAGGTCCGCACTGAAATACTTGTCGGGAGGATACTTTATAAAACAAGGTAACGTTGTTTTTTATTTTTTTTATTTTTACACACATATTTTGGTCTATCTTTCTTCTACAATCATTATCTGAAAATTAATGTATATATACAACTTTGAAGTTGAGTCATTAATTTTCAGATAATGATTGTAGAAGGAAGATAAACCAAAATATGTGTGTAAAAATAAAAAAAAATAAAAAAAAAATTTTACCTTGTTTTATAAAGTATCCTCCCGACAAGTATTTCAGTGCGGACCTGTATTTGATCGTGAGGTCTTGGAGCACCGGCATGCCGTCCATATGTGAGGTCTTAAGTCAAATGATTCACGAACCCGTTGTACTACATTAACAAAGGCACGAGGGGTTGGTTGCACTCGATTGGGAAACCGATCCGCATAAACATGTGCCATTTTTTATTTCGTTTGAGCCACGTAACAGACACCACTATCCACTACCGACTGACACTGACTGTATACAACTGAATGAAATAATTGTAAAAACATCGTTCCAAATTCTTTCGCTTTTTTGTTTCCGATGCGATGAATCGATAAGGCGAATTATATCCGTTGTCGCCAAACACGAGCACATAATATTATTATTGAGACAGGGCGGTACTCAAACTTCCAAAGGGCTAACTTTGTTACTTTAATTTTACCAGAAAAATGGTAAAGGAAAAAAACATTTCTTTTGATCAGATCTACTCACTGTTAAAATAAATGACTCAACTTCGAAGTCACCCTGTATATATACTTAATACCTTTAACCTAAGTTTTATTTTTATAAATTGCTCTGTTATTGGCGATAAGCTGTTGGGCAATAAAGGCTTATTATTATTATTATTATAAAATGTGGGTCTCCAAAAGAATTAGAAAATCCGCCGAAGCATATAGCAATGTCTTATAAACAAGCCACAATAACGTTTTTCATGAGAAAATAGTCATTTTCAATCGTCCTCCGGTTGCCTCATTAGGTACTCGCCTCTTTCGGAACGGATGTCAAATGGCTTGGTTTGCTCAAGCGGTTGAGCTTTGAGCTTTCATCCCACCCCTCTCGGGTGATTTTCAATTTTTTTCCTTGAAGTCAGTTTGTCCGATCGCCATAAGACACGGAATCGCTTCGTCAAGTTGTACTTATCTTCAGAATCCTCAGAAAATTATAGTCGGCCTTATTTGCTAACTCAATGTGGATTTTGCACTATGACTCAGCTGATGAACAATGAAAGAATAGCTGATGCCGCGCGGCATCTTGTTTGCCCGTAACACTATTGACTATCATGCGGGCGAAGCTTTGGGTTTATTCTAGTAAGTAAGAAGTTTGCATTTTTGGGAAATATCCCATTTGAATTAATATTTTATATGTTACAACTTTTTGCAATTTAATTTTGTGCCCTTGAAATCATAACGTATTGTTTTTCCATTGATGAGCTCGTCTACTTGTAATAAAACATTAAAACCAGTCAAAATCAACAAACATGCTAAGAGTAAGGAGTGCCCATGAATATTGCCATAATTAAACTGAAAGGAAGAATGAAAACTGATTCCGGTCCTGAGATAAGATGACGCCTCAACGCTTCCACGCTATAAGGACCGATACATTGGCATAGACTAGTAGTGCTTCGAACATGTTTCGTTGAGAGTCTAGTTACCGCGTGATATTGGGTGAGGTGAATAAAAGAGAGTAAATGCTTTTACTTTATAATTTTAAAGTGAATTCTTGGTAGTAAGTGATTAATAAAACTTTTACTTGTGAATCAGTCGACTTAAGACCTCACAGGGGAGAGCATGCCGGTGCTCCAAGACCGCACGATCAAATACAGGTCCGCACTGAAATACTTGTCGGGAGGATACTTTATAAAACAAGGTAACATTGTTTTTTAATTTTTTTATTTTTACACACATATTTTGGTCTATCTTCCTTCTACAATCATTATCTGAAAATTAATGTATATATACAGGGTGACTTTGAAGTTGAGTCATTAATTTTCAGATAATGATTGTAGAAGGAAGATAAACCAAAATATGTGTGTAAAAATAAAAAAAAATAAAAAAAAGTTACCTTGTTTTATAAAGTATCCTCCCGACAAGTATTTCAGTGCGGACCTGTATTTGATCGTGTGGTCTTGGAGTACCGGATTGCCGCCCATATATGAGGTCTTAAGTCAAATGATTCACGAACCCGTTGTACTACATTAACAAAGGCACGAGGGGTTGGTTGCACTCGATTGGGAAACCGATCCGCATAAACATGTGCCATTTTTTATTTCGTTTGAGCCACGCAACAGACACCACTATCCACTACCGACTGACACTGACTGTATACAACTGAATGAAATAATTGTAAAAACATCGTTCCAAATTCTTTCGCTTTTTTGTTTCCGATGCGATGAGTCGATAAGGCGAATTATATCCGTTGTCGCCAAACACGAGCACATAATATTATTATTGAGACGGGGCGGTACTCAAACTTCCAAAGGGCTATAACTTTGTTACTTTAATTTTACCTGAAAAATGGTAAAGGAAAAAAACATTTCTTTTGATCAGATCTACTCACTGTTAAAATAAATGACTCAACTTCGAAGTCCCTGTATATATACTTAATACCTTTAAGCTAACTTTTATTTTTATAAATTGCTCTGTTATTGGCGATAAGTTGTTGGGCAATAAAGGCTTATTATTATTATTATTATTATTATAAAATGTGGGTCTCCAAAAGAATTAGAAAATCCGCCGAAGCATATAGCGATGTCTTATAAACAAGCCACAATAACGTTTTTCATGAGAAAATAGTCATTTTCAATCGTCCTCTGGTTGCCTCATTAGGTACTCGCCTCTTTCGGAACGGATGTCAAATGGCTTGGTTTGCTCAAGCGGTTGAGCTTTGAGCTTTCATCCCACCCCTCTCGGGTGATTTTCAATGTTTTTTTCCTTGAAGTCAGTTTGTCCGATCGCCATAAGACACGGAATCGCTTCGTCAAGTTATACTTATTATCTTCAGAATCCTCGGAAAATTATAGTCGGCCTTATTTGCTAACTCAATGTGGATTTTGCACTATGACTCGGCTGATGAACAATGAAAGAATAGCTGATGCCGCGCGGCATCCTGTTTGCCTGTAACACTATTGACTATCAGGCGGGCGAAGCCGTGGACTTATTCTAGTAAGTAAGAAGTTTGCATTTTTGGGAAATATCCCATTTGAATTAATAATCTAATTGTGTGCCCTTAAAATCATAACGTATTGTTTTTCTATTGATGAGCTTGTCTACTTGTAATAAAACATTAAAACCAGTCAAAATCAACAAACATGCTAAGAGTAAGGAGTGCCCATGAATATTGCCATAATTAAACTGAAAGGAAGAATGAAAACTGATTCCGGTCCTGAGATAAGATGACGCCTCAACGCTTCCACGCTATAAGGACCGATACATTGGCATAGACTAGTAGTGCTTCGAACATGTTTCGTTGAGAGTCTAGTTACCGCGTGATATTGGCTGAGGTGAATAAAAGAGAGTAAATGCTTTTACTTTATAATTTTAAAGTAAATTCTTGGTAGTAAGTGATTAATAAAACTTTTACTTGTACTTGTCAAGCAAACACTTGTTATCTCGAGTTATTACTCCTAAAGTAACTATTTTGACTGTTCACTTACGATAGGAGTGAATAACAGCAATAGAAAACTTGACGTATTAAGTAAATATTTTCATTTTCGCAAGGTTGGTTTGATGTTACCTTGCCGCAATTGATAATTTGAAGTGTTTTAATTATGGCAGCATTTATGAATATACGTAACGTTAAACAATATCGTGATCGAACACATATAAGTCCAAATAGTGCAAAACGTCTTTTAAGGTTTGAAAATGAAAATATCGATTTCATTACAAACTATTTCTTACCAGAAACCAACGAAACTCGAGGTGGTGCTCTGTCCTCAAGAAAATATATTGAAATATTTCTCCGGTATATTAGTGACCCTGGTTTTCAAAGTGGCGTTGCAAACGATTTTGGTATTGAAAGAACAACAGTTTGTAAGACTGTAGATTATGTTGCAAAAAAAATTATGGAGAAGGCAGGTCAATGGATAGTGTTTCCAAAAACCGAAAGAGATTTAAACGAAGCAAAGATAAGTTGGATGGCAAAATACAGGATTCCCACCGTAATTGGCGCACTTGATTGTACCCATATACAAATTAAAAAATCTGAAGGGCAGTTTGGCGATGAGTACATAAATAGGAAAAATGTTGCTTCATTAAATGTTCAGATGACATGTGATGCAATGGAAAGGATCAGAAGTATAGACGTACAATGGACTGGAAGTGTGCACGATAGTAGGATTTGGAGATAAAGTGCTGTTCAACAAAAACTTGCAAGATTCCAAGGGAATGCTTGCTTGCTAGGGGACAGCGGATATGGTATATCTCCATGGCTTTTAACACCATTTAGACAACCACAAACCGAATTAGAACGGCGGTACAACAGATTACATTCAAAAGAAAGAGTTGTAATAGAACGTGTATCTGGCCAACTAAAACAGCGCTTTCCAATTCTAGCAAATAGGATTAGACTCGCAATAAGGAACGTACCGAAAATAATCATATGTTGTGCTGTACTTCATAATATTGCTAAGTATTTGCAGGATGAGTGGGACTATGGCATAGAAAATAATAACGACGATCATGATGCTGTCCCAGAAATTGTTGAGCAAGAGCGTGAAGAAAAGCGCTTAGAAATAGTCCAAATAATAAATCAGTTTAATTCAATTCAAATAACAAAATATGTTTCCAACATATTTATCATAGGTAATAGGTATCAAATAAAAATTATGTAGCTCTTAAATACAGTTATTCTAATTAACACGATACTATATCTACTCGTACCAAAATTTCTGATACATATTATACATGAGAAATTATAGATAAATTCTAATTATTCATAAATGTGTAAGGAAACTTACTTTAACAAAAGAAACTCTTGCAACCTAAATTCCGAATTAACTAAAGGATCTCATTCTTTTGGGTATTAATAGCTTCGTTTTCTTGCTGACGTAGGTTTTCCAGTTGGAATTCCTCTTTTTCAATTTGTAGTCTAGTTAGTTTCAGCTGCTCTAGTAGTACTAAGCGTTGAAGTTCAGGAGTTGATAAACCTACAGTTTCTTCTGTTTCTGCTGCTAACAACCTTTGTTTTTCAGAATTGTGGCCACTGGACACGGAAGAAATATCTGCAGCATGTTCTTTGCGTAAAATATGACTCTGCTGATTATCCTTTCTTGTTTCTGTTGTTGCTTCGCTTACATTTAACTGTGTGGCAAGTTAAACACATTTATTACTGGAATCTAGACCAACTGTTATTGCTCCTGGTATTTTACTGTATACAGGATTTTCTTCAGCATTTAGAATCTCTCGAAAATCTTTTTCCCATTAAAGTAGCTTGATTGGTTTATTTCCTGTTGATGACGAGTCAGTTTTTTTCTCAAACAGTGCATTTCATATGGTTAAGAAGTTTTTTCAACTGATCTATAGTTACGTTTTTCCCTGTATATTTTATGAATTCCTCTCAAATTATCATCCAGGCGGTTTCTTTTGCTGAAACCATTTTTGGTACCATTGACTTATTTAGTACTATTTTATTGTTTTCTAGCTACAAGATTCTGACTAGCTGTACTCGGTTATCAGAAACAAGTTTCGGTTGTTTACTTTCTTCGTCATCTTAATTGTTAGCTGTTGAGCTTTCTTGTGTCCGAATTAAAAATAACTTAGTTAAACAAAACTATACAGAAACCTAAAGAGATTTATACGACGCGTAAGGTTTACAAAGCAAATACTTGTAAATAAGACGATTTAAATATGTGAATAAAGATAAACAAGCTAAGACTTGCACGCGCGGCAAGTATTACTTCAATATTAACAAGAAGACCTTTCTGAGTCATGCCTTACAATTATTCACTCATTGCCAAGCATTTGCTTTAACTCTCAAGGCAACACTTTTCTCGTAAGTAAATGCTTATGAAGTGTTTACTTGGTTTTATTCACCTCACCCATTGAGCTGTATTCATAAAAGAGAAGCATATCCTCGGAAGCATAAGCTAAAAGTATAAGGTCTTGCTTCGGAGAAAAAGGTAGAAGTACAAGCATGTCCTTGTTTTCATATTCATAATGATTACCTTATACTCGCGAGAATATCCTCCAAGAAGAAGTAATAGGATGAATGGTATTTGTATCTTGAGCGACATGTCCTGACTTGTTCCTACTTGTAGTTGACGTGGGAGTTCGTTCACTCAGCATCACTGACAGTTGTACTCCAGAGCTTACCCTGACCGTTCCGTATTTTTACTGGATACAGTTTTTTATCAAATTAATAAGCATATCATCCTCAAGTGATCAGGAAACTATAGAAAATAATGGCAACGACCTACAGTTCATCGCAAATGCTCCCATTATTTTGCAAAAGTCACAAGTTCCAAAAATAAAAATGAGAAAGGACGATGCCTTGAAGAAGATGATGAAAAAATACGATTCAACATTCGGTAAACCATCAGATACTAAAAGCTTATTAAAAAAATCAACAACATGAAATCAAGATTGAAGAAAAAAAAGTGGTACGGTAATAAAGCAATTAAATTGTTAGATTGGGAAAGAAAGTTGCTGAAAGCTATGGAAGGTGACTACTGAATCCTACAATTGGGAAAATCAGAGGTGCCATCCAGATTGGTAGTGTTCAAGAAGAAGGAAGTGAACTATATTCCGAGTGCAGTGAGCAAACAGCGCCAGCAATTCAGAAGACATTGCCACCAAAAAGAAAATTAGCAACAGAGAAATACGAAACTGAGGAAACCAAAGGGTTAGCTACAAAAGAACTGCAACTTCTAGTGCTATTACAGCAGTACCAAACAAGTATTGTACAACAAGAGTATTATAAAACGAAATTAGAAATGATGGAGCGTCAGAAGCTACCTGTAACTTATGATGTTCACAAAAATAAAACTTATTATAACTTATAAATACACTGAAATCAGTGAAACTATGTATTACATAACTCAAGTTTCTTCTTATTTGTTGACCTAGTTGGCGGAGAGGAAGTTCGTCATTCTCATGATTTCCTTCATCTTCATCTGGGTCTTGTTAAACTAACTCAAAGTCAGGATCGCCAAAGCTCTTCGCAACATTATGGAGTACAATACAAGCAATAATTATTTTCGGCACATTTTCCAACTTTACGAGGCAAAAATACTGTAGGATACGAAACCGGCGTTTCAGTTGGCCGAAACAGCGTTCAATTATAACTCTAACTAGTCTGTGAATTTCTCCATATTCTAAAATCATGCACTGATCCAGGCCAACTGACATCAACACTTGTGAATATCTCTCTGGCATCACAAGTTCCTTGCACGTTTAAAGTAGGTTTCCCTTTTCGGTTGATATACTCATCTCCATGGCGATTTGGTTTCAGGATTCCTAAATGTGTTCAATCAATTACACCAATTGCTGTCGGAAATTTATAAATGCGTTGCCATATCCGCTTGGCCTCCATCAGTTCATGGTTGGTAGTTGATCGATTCGTTCGACTGTGCAAATATGCTGTTCACAACTCTATCCACAGTCCGAGATACCGTTGCTTGACTAACACCAAGTTCCTGACCAGTACCTTGTTGATATCCAGGGTCACCGAGATAGCGTAGACATATCTTCATTTTATGAATACCTGAAAGTACTCCTCCTTGAGTTTCCTCATTCTCAACTAAAAATCTGGCCACAAACTATTGTACATTTGCTTCGTCGAACCGATATAATTTTTTGAAGTCACGACCAAATGAAGGTAAACGAGGTTTGTACATCCCTAACATCCACAATTTCCGCCATCATCGTTTGACCACCTTTCGTTACGAAGTTGAGTCTGCTACGGGACCACATTCAGAATTTTTGAAGGATATGCTTCCTATGCCAAGTATAAGGTGAAGATTATGAATATCGTTTTACTTATGTCACTGCTTTGAAGGATATGCTTATACTCAAAAAGCAAAAGCATTTACTTCAAATTATTATAAACACCATCTGGAGGATTTCCTTCAAAATTTGCAAGTACAAGGATATGCTTTGTTTTATGAATATGGCTCATTGTTTGTTTATTTCTGTTCGGGTCATACTTATTTTTTCTTCACCATGGAGGGTGAGACTGGGAGTGGAAGTAATGGAAGCTAGGGAAGAAGTAAAAAGCTTCGTAAGGACGCGAAAGAAATCATGCTCAAAGTGTGTGTATTATTTGAACAAGACAATGGCGCAGAGACATGCACAGACGCGTTGCGAAAGCATGGCAGGCGTTCCAGAGTGGACTGTTTGCAGGGTGGTGCACGAACAGAAGAGAACTGGAGCTACTGCTGACCCAAGGCAATTAAACTAAATGGCGACAGCAAAATGGCGTTAAGACGAACCTTACATTCATTATTTACATCACCAACCCCTAAGGCTATACATGCAAAGATCGAGGGTAATGAATACTAAGGAAGACCCAGCACGAACTTAATTTTCATTATTAAACGCGTAATCGGAATAGTCGCGTAGCGTCGAAAATACGTACGCGCAATACCTGAATATAGACGAAAGAGCAGAAAAATATATAATTTGTATTGACGTGGCTAAATGCAGGTCACATAGTTAAACAAACCTAGATAGACAAAAATGTACCAAGTAACAGACAGGCAAGCATTGAAGGTTTGTCAACAGGTCTTCGTGCACCGTCAGGGAAAGGTCAAAGATTGATCGTTACACATACTGGCAGCGATAGTGGC